ACATGGGAATAGTACTGGGGGAATAGTACATGGGAACAGTACAGGGGGAATAATAGTACATGGGACTTACGGCGGACTCAGCACCCTCATTGGCTGTCTGCCACACGGACCACTCTCGGAGCACTTCCTCTAGCTTCCACTTGCTTCTCCTGCAGCCAAGGTTACGAGTTTTGTTTTTATCTCATCCCTTGCGAAAAGCCAAAGAACTCCTCTGCACTCACAGATTGTTAGCAATCATACTTTTGTTTTTTTTCATTTTTCCTTACGGCGAACTTTAGGGAACTTAAAAGTTTATGCATTAAACAAAGCAGTACCGTCATCCCCGGGATGCAACACACCCTGATCATCACTGTATTGGACCAGGAAAATATCGCATGTATACATTCATGACGAGGGTGTGTTGTTGTGCGCAGGGGAAAACGGTGCGTGCAGCTGTGTTCCATCTACGCCGCCTCGCCTTCGGACACCGGTACCGCTCAGAGAAAGGCATGCAGAGCATGGCACACGCAATTGACAATACCTTCTTCCGCCGAATACAACGTACGATCATTTCAGTCTAGGTACAGCCATACTGACGGTACGTTCTATTCGGGGGAAGACGGTAGCCGAGGGGAGTGCTGCAGAAGTCCACGTGAAGTATTGAAGTGTGAGAAAAACATAAGCAAACATTTGAGCGGGCTTCCATAGTCAGTGAGAGTTTGGCATCTTAGGGGTGCAGTCAAACTGGGGATTTTTGGCCTGAACTTGGGCTACAATTGAGGTCAGATACATGCTGGAAAGTTCATTGCCTCAGCCAGTAACAAGGAACATTGCACACACTGCACAACTGCACTGGAGGACACCAATCCGCAACAATTAAGATTTTGTTTTTCCAAACAAATGGTCCAGTCTATTCGTGGGGAGCAGCACGTGCTGGGAACCGGGTCCAGCGTCCCAACCAATCCGCAACAATTAAGATTGCGCTGCCCTTCCTGTGAACAGATCACCACCCAGGCAGCCCTTTTTTTTTTCTTTTTTTTTTTAAAAGAAAATTCCCGGTCTTGGTTAGCAAAGGGGGGGTGATAAGAGCATCCTCCTCTAGCACCCTAGGGGGGCGGGGGTTGTAGAGGACCCACCCGGGAACCGTACTAAGGAATGGCAATCAAATTCACCTGACATCAGAAAATAACAGATAATTACTTTGTGTTTACTCGTCGGGATATCAGTGTTTCCGCCTCTCTACTTATGCTGGTGTCTGCAGGATGGTCGTGATTCCAAATACCTCCATAATTCAAGGTGATCCACGCGCAGCATGCAAGCAAGCGCGAGCGTACTACCGGTGAGCTTTGCTTCTCCTCTACCTCTGTGATAAGAACGGACAACCAGTCTGAAACAAACTAAATTTAACTAATCCATTGGGAAAATACTAAAATAGTAAAATACCATCTGACACAAAAAGCGCTCATGCTACCACCATGAGCTTGTCCTCTCCTCTACTTTTTGGAGGACGCCAATCCCTTCACGAAAGCACAAAGGGCATCATAGATGCGCATTCCCCGGGCCAGCCATACGACATTCCGGGCTGCAAAACAGATGAACATGTGACATGCAGGCAAGGATGACGTGCACAATCAGCGAAGGAGGGACAGCTTTCTGCACATACGGCTGCAGAAACCGTGTCATTACACTGCTCCACTCCCACACACGGGTTGTGGTCCCCACATACCGTATCTGTGGCCTTGCAGGCACAGAAGGTCACCAAAAACTGAGACACTGCTGCACTCCCGCACACGGGTGGTGGTCCCCTTCCCGTTTACTCGCGAAGTAGCCTGTCCTTTCCTATTACTAGGTCTCTTTCCAGTTAGGCAGGGTCTACGGGTCCTCTGACTTCCAGTTAAAAAATCATTCGACTGGATCTCGCCGGTATCACCTATAGGCTGCAGGGCTTCGAGATGTCGTTTAGTCGTCTGTCCACAATACGATAGACGATCTGGCCCCATGTACCATTTCACCACTTCGACTAAGGCCTTGCTGGTTTTGACAAACGGCAGGCAGAGGGCCGAAGGCCAGCATGCATTCACGTGCTTCCACAAGTGCACGACGCCGAAGGGCTGCAGGGTATGCTTAAAGGGTGCAGCCTGAAGCCCCAACAACAGACACTTGGACGCTGAGGTACGAAATCTGCATCATCTTGAAGGACACCGTCAACGTGAATGGTGTGACCATGCACAGTGCCATCATCCTGCACTCCCCGATGGTCAGAGGCACGAACAATGGCCACGTAACTAACGATCACCCAAGAACCATAGACGCCAGCACTTCGACCGAGCACCGACCGACACGTACCGCTCAAGTATACGAGACCAGGTCCGTGTATAACGCAGGCAGCTATGCAAGATGAAAGATCAGACCGCTGGTCGGGACGAGAAGACACAGCAGATGTTCTGGCGATGCCTCATCACTGATTGTGGGACATCAATGTTGCTGCATTCTGCCTGGAGGCAGAGAAGGTTGGCATCAAAGGCAGAGAAGGTCGGCATCAAACTGCAGGGCAATTGCAAAAGACGTCTAAGGCAGACAGTGCTGGGCATGCAGATCACACAGACGTGTGTGTGTGTGGGGGGGGGGGGGGGGGGGGGGGGGGGGGGGGGGGGGGGGGGGGGGGGGGGGGGGGGGGGGGCATCCTCGATCAAATCAGAGGGTAAGTGGGATCAAAGTGAGGTCGCTCATCACAATGGACAACCTTAGGCTTGATTGTCGCACATGGCTTGTCAATCTGCAAGCCACCCAATTGATGTTCCTAGCCCTGGAGCATTCGAAGTTCAAGATCTTCAAGACATGCCAGCTCGAAGTAGTATATCATCTAACTGATCTTGAAAATGAATGACGAAGAGAGAGAGAGAGAGAGAGAGAGAGAGAGAGAGAGA